AAAATTCTTCAAAAGCGTTGGAAAACTTATTTGATGTAAACTTTTTTTTGTTGCTTTGGTATGTAAAACGAAGTATTTATCCAGTTGAAATGGACATCTGACAGTACCGTTATTTTCGGGGCCTTAATAGTTTTCATTAAGGGATCTGCTATTTTATTTTCTTGAGTTTATAACCTCTTGTACGTTTTCAAAAGACTGGGTCCTTTCAGATGAATTAGTGATATCATCTAAAAATTCTGGGGTTGTATTATTCTCAAGGAATTCTTGAAAAAAGTTCTCCTGGTGTGTTACTTCATCGTACTCCACGCTCATAACTCGTAAATGATATCGGTGAGTACATATGAAAGAATTTAACTTCATTTTCTGAAAGTCATTCGAGGTCTTTACCAAATCGCACAGTATTGTCTGCTGTACGTTTAATGACAGCGCCAATGCCGTCAGGAGCACCTTTGCCATGCCCGCTTTCCAAATAATTCCATGTAACTGCTTTAAATTCTCGAAACTGTTTCTGGAGCTGAGTAATTACATAAAATATTTTACGATTACGATATTGACTAGAGGGGCTGTCAGTTAAAAAATTTACTATATCAATATGCGATTTATCTTGAGCATATTCCAATATTGGGATAATATGGGCCCCTATAACTTCAGCATCATGTCTACAGCAATCACTAACTGTGCACATATTGTATGTTGACAATAGTTCTGTTTCAGGGTCTAAATAAGTTACAGAAGTATGTAGAGTAATTTATTCCGGACTATTATCAAAATGTCGACTTTGCACTTCTTCCTGGAACTTAGTTCTGTAATTTTCTGAAAAATCCATATGGATTAGGATTTCTTTAGGAGCTAATATTTTTTTCAGATTCTTTATATTTTTATACTAGATTACAATATTTAAACAATGCTTAAAATAGCGTGGCAATGAATTTTCGAGTTTTCTAATTAAATTAATAGGCAAATCTTGTAGTTGCTTCTTTGTTGTTTTCTTCGATAACTTATTTTCTCCTTTAGCATTATATTTAATAGTTTGTGCACCCCACTCATGGCATTTAATATATTCGTCGTTTTTAAATTCTAAATGATTGATTTCTCGTTTAGAACATCTGTCACATATTCTGTTCATACAATTTTCATTTTGAGTATCACAACTAAGACACTCAAGTAATACAGCGCCATTGGTTTCCTTAATTATTTGGTTTTTATTCAGACATTTTATTAAAAGGTCCATATTTGTATGTATTATACAGGAACATTTACTTCTGTTAGATTCTTTTGGATATACAACCCAAAATGGCTGATATTTGCAAAATGTTGAATATTGATTGTGATCCATAATTATGGATATGTATAAACTTTTTATGGAGGTTAATCAAGGTATCCGACAAATGGCGTTTTTATTTAGTTATTCCTTTCTTCTGTATATACTCTTTTTTATCTGCCGCAATTCTGCTATTACTATCGTCTTCGAAGAAATCAATTAAGTCTTGTTTAACATCTTTTTCAGACATCTTAGCTTCTTTTTTGTGTTCTTTATCGTAAAAGTTTTGGCAGCGTGCAATACTCTGTGTTTTTTGAAATTTTCCTTATTGTTTATAATTAAATAAAGAAATTGACGTTTATCTTTCTTTTTTCAAGTTTGGAATCCTTTTGTTAATTTTTTTTTCAATACCTCTGTAAATAGAACCTTGCTTTTTACTTTTTCTCTAATATTTTCATCGACAGTACTAATTAACGATTCTACTTGATCTTCTATAGTTGGATTACTTTTCTGTGATCTTAATATACTATTCATTAATCTTTCCGTCTTTTTCATTAAGGTTTTTTCTCATTTTCTTCCTTATCAAGTTTTCTTTTCAAAATTGAAATTCTTTTTCCATATAAATAACGTAACCTTCTTAGGTTTTTCTTATTTTTAATACAATTCGAGCATGACGCTTCAATATTGTCTTTTTTTGGTGATGGACCTTCTAAAGGGTCCAAATCCTGTTTAAGGACATCATTATTTCTAGAAACATTGTCTTCTAAGTCGCTTGTAGCAAGAGAAGAGAAGGCTAGAGAGCTACTTTAAAGTGGGTTGAAGGTAATGTACGTTTTTCGTTTGACAAATCTTTAAATAATTCTTATTTTAATAAAATGAAGATTATATTTAAAATCAAAATATTATGTTACACTAGAATGTATATGCTCATAATATATAAATATTATTATTATTAATATAGTTCTCAAATATAACGTTATCATGTAAATAAAAAATGGTTTTTAAAATATTTCTGAAAAAGACACTTGCAATTGAATTTTTGGTTCTAAAAGTGAGCATATCTTTGATATCTTTGATCAATTTTGATTTTTTTATCTCTGGGGCATTGCTAGCCTAATGTGCAACAGTTAATAGAGTATACAGGTAATATTTGTATTTCAATTATTCATTTTTTTATTGACGCAGAAGTGCTTTTACGTCGAAATCAGAGAAGTACCCAGAACGTTTCAAGACTTTTCACGAATTGGTATTTCGGAACAACAAAATCTACTGAGTTAGGCCTGTATGTTACAAAAATTGATTGCTACTCGTAAAAATGTTTATTAAAGTACTTTCAATGTTTAACAATAATATCATATCTATTTTGTTCATTTTATTATGTTTCAGCTATAAAATTTAGCGCAAAGTTATAAAAAATCGTGTCGCCAAACAAAATATTGCTAAATATTTGGAGTGCTTCAAAGTTTCAAGATTAAATTGTTATAGTCCGCACAAGTTCAGGACAGTGGGAACAATCACCAAGTTTAACCTAACTCACTCGGGACGTCTATTGCTTTTATACAAAAAGCAGCACATTAAATATACCACTTTAATAATAACCACACTGCCATAATTTATAAAACCAATATTTATAAATAAGCTATAGATGTTATGTTAAATCACGAGGTCTTCCTGTTTGACTTCTATCATGAAATAACATGTGCGTGCAAACATAATTATAATTTTCATAAAACTCAGCAGCAATGTTGATGCTGACGACGATGCTGTTACAGCATATATACTCGATAAATTAAATCTACTTCAAAATTAAATAAAGGTTACTATAATCAACGTCGAGTTCGAATCTGTTTATTAACAGTTGTCTTTTCTTGCGCTATATTTCAATTGTACGTAGCTCGTGCAAAGCGCCATGTGAATCCTCTTTGCTAGAAGTATTGTATTTCTAGTATATATAATATGACTGAATATTATATAACTTCTCGTTGTTAATAATAAATTGTCGCTAGAGTACATGAACGTCTTATAAGATGATAAAAGTATTATTAAAAACATACTCTAAACATCAGCAGTTCTGATAGTTGTAATATCAGTTTCCAGAGCAAAATGTTTAGACTATGTTTCCTTTGTGCAAGTTTCTCAGAATGGAATTAACTCTAATATTTTATCGGAGTTAGCTAAGACGTAACCATATAAGAAACTTACGCTGATAGAAGTTTTCTTTTATATTTTATTTATAAATAAATTGTGGGAAAATATTTCTGATTGGGATTTTCTTGCGAAAAAATCACGTAGCTATATTGTACTATCTATATATACTAGATAGTGGAAAGGCGCCGTCGCCCACGATCGTTATTGTTAAGCAACTTTCGTAAGGGTCAGTCACGGGATGGGTGATAAAAAAAGCATATTATCTGGAGCTACTCTGTACTTCAGAAGGCATGTTAAGCCATTGGTCCCGTGTGCATTTGCAGTCATTAATACCCTCCATTCCGCATATATTGTCCATTAAAACATTATGAATGCATAATTGATCAAATATATTGACATTATTTAATTTTTGTGTAGCACCGCCTTATTAAATTCTCTATGTCATACATAACTCTCCAGTTGACTGACTGAACGGTAGAGAATACCTACTAGCATCAAGTCCGCCATTTGTTCTCTTTATTTGTGCAAAAAAGTTTAAATAAACTAATAAACTCTGCAGTGAAATATACACCACTCTACCAAAACGATTATTCAAACGGATGACTATTTTTCCCATCGCCGTAACCGAATAGCAAAAAAATTGAATCTGTGTTAGGCGCCCAATGGAAATCTTATGTTTTTAAAAGGATTCGTCATGTGAAAAACGTAACATTTCCATATTCTCTTGGGTCACAAAGGCGTACTCAGCCGGTGAAAGAGGGTTTTAGAAACGAAAATGTTGTCCTACTTTTTTTGAATCACTCTCTGTTCTAACTATCTACATCTCGATAAAGCGTGCAAATCAATCCTTTGCCATCTTTCAATGTGAAAGGATAAACATACACATTAGAATAGTTTTCAAATCTCTTACACCATTGTCGATTACTATTATCTTCAAAGATGATTGAACTCGTGGGCAAAACTTTACCTTAGAAATAAGGATATTCTTATAAACTCCTGGTGATTAACTAAGCGGAGCGCGTCCTCTATCAACTTTTTTGTAGTGAATAACTACTAGCTGTTTTCCCGTGACACTGCTAGCGTGAATTATAGCCTACGTCACCCGGGTATAATCAGCTATATTAGATTATACCCGGGTGACGTAGATGTCATCCCGTAGATGAAGAAATTTTCATGATGACTCAGTATTTCCAAAGATTACCCCCTATCAACTTCTTCTTCGCAATGGCTGGTCATAGGATGAGTAACCAAAAATTTATTATCATGAGCTCCTCTGTGCATCGGAACGCACGTTAAACCGTTAGTCCAGCTGCATCAGCAGTCGTTAATACCAGCACTGGACCCGCGTGAAAGCCTGAGCATTTATTAGACATTATTAGGCAATAATTTTACCTCACTTAATCTCTCATCTAATAATAATAACAGATGGTGAGATAAAAAACAAACGTGATAAAATATAATTTAGGCACTTTTCCATTTATTATACCATTTCTTGCCCATGTCTACTCACAAGGACTAAAACACAATCAAACGTTAGAGTAGTTTATTATTATTGTTAACTGATACTTATCTATCTTAATATGTTCCACAGACAGCAACTTCGTCTTGGGCAACGCTCAGGTACCTGCTTACCCGATCGTGTACTGCTCAGACGGGTTTTGCGAGTTGACGGGCTGGGCGCGCGCGCACATCATGCAGAAGGGTTGCGCGTGCAAGTTCCTCCACGGGCCTGACACAAGGGAAGAACACCGGCACGAAATCGACGCCGCACTAGACTCTAAGCACGAGCTCAAACTAGAGCTCATTTTCTATAAGAAAAATGGTAAGTTGTTAATAATAGTATATGTATATAAAAAGTTTTTAATATTCCCAAATGACTTTAGCGGAGAATTCATTGGACGGTCATGCCCGTCAGACACCATCCTACACCATCAAACTTATATTGCCTAGCTATTATTATGCAGTGTAACGAGGTCCGACGTGTATGTCTGTAGACTTGCCCGTGGGCATACTTGTCAAGTAAATACCCCGCTTTTTTCCAATATATATATATACTTGTATTTATAGCGGGTTCTAAGGACTTCTCATTCAACTTTATTTTGACTTCTGCATCTGTTATAGTAACTGATTTACTCCGAAGTACTTGATTTCACATGGTTATACTGCTTCGTACCTAAAGATAGTGACGAATGTCAATATTTTTAGATTTATTTTCACTTTTATATTACAAATCTGTAAGAAGTTTAAACTGTTTAAACCCAAATTACCATTTTTTAAATACTTTAAGAAAAATAATTAAGAAAGAATTTTTCATGATAATGGTCTTAAATGTACATTCAATTTATTAAAAATGGGTCAACTTTTATAATTCATACAATAAAAGGTTTATAAATATTATACAACGACGAAAAAGGTCGGCGGGCCAGAAAGGCGGGACAAAAGCGGTACTGAATCCATTTGGAATTAAAACCAGATTAATCCGAACGACATTTCTATTGGCAAAATCGATACTACTCAAATATTTTAAACATACTCCAAATTTGGGGAAAATGTGCTCATAAATCCACTTGGTAACATACTGCTTGTAACGTACAGTCAACTTATATAATTCCTAGATCACATTAGAACTTTACTTATGTTACGGTTAGTTAATTTGATGTTAGTTAAGTCAACTATGCTTAACGTGACCAGACGTCCCGTTTTGAATGGGACCGTTCCATTTTTAGGTTGTTGGTCCAGATGTCGCAGATATTTCCTTTTGGGACACACTGGAATGCACAGCGAACACAATAAGCTTCAATGATTTTATTACAGAATAGCCCATCTTACAGTGGGCCAACGCCTTTGAAGACACGCAACGTTCAGCTTTTGTCTAGACATTCGTCATATCTGCAGAATTGTCACATTATTATTATAGGTCACATTATTATTATTTAATAACTTAACAAAAGTTTATATATTATCTATGTGTTTTGCTATCATTAGGTACGCCTTTAATGGTAAATAAATATTATATTACATTATTTTTTATTATGTCAATTTTTATGTAAAATACCAATTTCTATTTATAGGTTATTGTAAACGTTATCTATAATTATAAAACAAGTGTTTTACTTCAAATAAATCACTCCTATTGTAGTAAGTAAATAGGCAAAACGCACCAAATATATAAAAAAGAATCAGTTTTTAATTTAAATAAAACTTCTTACCTAACTTAAGACTTGGCAATATCTAATTATAAGACTTATGATTCTTTTGTTGAACACTAATGAAATTTCAAATTCTTATTAATGTAAGATGACGATACAGTCTCTCACGACACTCGTACTCTGGTATCTCCCAAGTAAATGTGTAGTAAACTGGGAGAGTTGCCACGCTTCCCAACCCACGCGAATCCCTTTACGATTGCTCTGTCTAGACGTCTTCGTTGGCCCAATGTAAGAAGTTCTATTCACTGTGATAGCACCATTGAAGACAGTCTTCAGCAGTGCGCTCATTCCGTGCGTACATAGTGCACGTTCACCATTTGAATCATTCAAAGATACTTTATTCACGTACTGTCCCGAAATGAAATTGTATCGAGTATTTAGAGTTTTTTTTTTTATAATAGAAAATGTTGGGTATTATTTGATACGGGTTAGAGCAGGAAAATATTTTTTTTTTGTAATATAAATAAACCTTTTTTGTGTCTTTTTTTGTAATAAAGATAAATGCTTTTTTATTGACATTGTATAACAGACCTTTAGAATTGATTTATTTTTATTAAAATCTCTTTTTTTATTTTATCTACGAGTTGAAGTAATTTTACCTTTTTAGAATGATTTCTATACATTTCACTATTCTTAGTTTAAACCTGATGCTTTGTACAAATTATGCATCATAAGACAATATTTAAGTGTTTCTTAAAACTAAAATAAAAATTATATAAATATTTACGTTAGAAAATTACGTAACCTAAATATAAATACTATCTTAATCAACACAGCCCTTTAAACTTATTTGGCAGTATTGACAATTGAATTATTTCTTATAAATAATGAAAATATTTCTCAGTGATGCGAACGCAAAATACTGTAAGTTAGAATAATGATACTTAAATAAATTACTAAGGTCAATATTAATCTAAATCTAAATTCTGAAAACAATCCGACAATTCACACTAACATGTTTCTTATACCTCTGTTCTTTATTATGATTATTCTCTTACAGCCAGTTGCACAAACGTCCATTAAAATTATCATTAGTTTAAAGCGACATTACCTATACAAATCTGACATTCATTAGAGCTTAACGACGCCATTAAACCTTAATGGACGTTTGTGCAACTCACCGTTAGACTCTAATATTATGCTTATTCTTCATTAAACTTTAATAATGTGCATACAACCGTTTAAAAACAAAAAAGGCGCCGTTACTTAACAATTAGATAAAACAGATGTAGGTTATTCGGACGTTTTTAACCGTTTTACCAAACATCGTCCTCGTTTCAATCGTAAACAAAAACCAATAAGAGGTTTACGATTGCATTGGACAAGATTAAACTTTTACAAGCATACAGCTGTTGCAGCATTAAACGCCAGAGGGCCAAGGATACTTCGGAATGATGCTATTAACATGAAAAGTCAGAAATGACACAAATATTCTTTATATTTACAAGTATTAGTCAAATCAAAGCACCTAAGAGTTGCTCAACCACGTAAGACCTAAATGAATTAGCATTGAGTCCTACTTTTTTGCCATGCTTTTATTGGTCAAGAAGTTCAAAATATCATGAATAAAGAAGAATAACACCCATTTTCACTAACCTAGAACAAGGCGTAGCTTAACTAGGAACCGCCTAATAATTTCATTTATCCCTTGACATATTTATGACCTGTCATATACGAAAACGCCTAACGCAAGGCGCCGCGTAACGGATACTCTAGACATTGCTTACTTTCGTTAGGCGGTTCCTAGTTAATGGTGAAATGCATTTTTACCTTAGGCGATTCCTAAATATTTAGACGCCAGATTTGGGTGATTCCTAAGTTTAGTGAAAACGGGCATAAATCTATTTTTAAAATAAAATGTCTAGTGTTAAATACTGACTGATATAATATAGCTGTGTGTTGTTGAAAAACTATATGAATAAACATTCATATTATAATTTTATTCTTAATATGTACTTAAGATGCAAAAATCGACTAAAACGCTTTCCAACAAAGTGTGTAAAATATCATTGATAAAGGATACATTGACTCGGCTAGTTTCAGTAGAAGTTTTCCCATTGATTACATTTACAAAGATCATTTAAACGAAATCGCAAAATCAATACTAGTATCAAGTCCCTAAAGGGAATTGAAACATGATATCTACCTATACCAAATAAAGTCTTAAACAATCAATACTATAATATTATGCGTAGTCGTGTAAAAATTAATATTCATATAATGAAAAATGCTCAAAAAATCCACCATCCCCCGATAGTCTGATATGTGATTGGAACCCACGATCTTTCGCAATCCGGGCGACTGCTCTAACTTGCTTAACAGGATTGACAAATTTTTCAATCTTCTTGTTACGTTTCGCTACTAGGGAGCGTATTTTCATCAATGTTCATCATATCCACCCAAAGAAAGAATTAGCCGAAAGAAATATTTTTATAAATATTGCAACTTTCGATAAAGATGACAAATTTGTTCTAATTATTATATTTAATAAATTTTGCATTTACAATGCTATACAGGAAAATATTCTTTATGAAATAATCTCAATGAAATTCAAAATCTATGCCATGTCCGTTCTAAATGTAGTGTTGAACCACGCAGCAACACTTGAGAACAGTTAATTTACATAGATTAAATTGTCCAGGTACTCCATTCTGGTGTTTGCTCGACATCGTCCCAATTAAAAATGAGAAGCGTGAAGTGGTTTTGTTCCTTGCCTCCTTCAAAGACATCACTAATACCAAGATGGCCGCCATGAACACTAACGAGGACTTTGACAGCGGTAAGTATCATTTCTCAAGTGTCACTTGAGAATATTTTGTAAAGGAAAAAATTGCAAGCTACAAAGATGAATATGAAATACTTCGTCATTTCGTGGCGCTTGCTTCGATGACTAATAAATTTGAGGATTGTGCATTTGTGTTTGATAACTTATACTAAGCACGTTATTTTAGCGCTATAGGTACCTGTATAAGGTTGATAGCGTTAGATTGAGCTCCTGTAGCTCCCATTGGCCGTAGCGAATATCAAGCATCACCGCACGGTAAAGTTCCTTTACGACTGTTTGTATTGTGAAAGTAGAATTGATCTAATTAGTTCCTACGTAGAAAATAGTATCGGTAGAACTACGTAGCCTAGCGATATTACCTTTCTTTCACTAATTAACGCACGTATAACAGTAACTAACGTGAAACGTAATTGTAGAACATGGCATTATACACATGCACATTGCACATATATTAGATAGAAAATACATATTACATTTTAGATTCTTTAGAATAATTTTTACTTTTAAACGAAGTTCTTAATGATTATTATCTTTGATTATTATAAAACTGAATAATGTTGCTGTGAACATGATATTAACAACTAACCGGCGAAAAACTTACATCTGTACTAAAGAATTGTGGCGTAATTCCAAATCAAAAAATACCTAATAATACACCACTGCATCAGTACTTAGATATTTAATTTTCGTTGCGAATATTATGATGACTAATGGTAAATTAGAAAAGTAATACGTATGCCTACAATCTAGAACTCTCCTAGTCAAAGACAAACTTTCATTCGTTTGAATGCTAACGCAAATTTTCAAGTTTAATTCAAAAAGCCATGTCTTATGTCATACACAATATTGATTTATTGACTTCATCCAAGATTTATAATTTAATTTGGAAAGTTCTTGATGTATAATTTAATTGTTGTTCTTAAAACATTTTAGTTGTCGGAACACCAACAACTAATATGTTTTGAGGTGAGGGAGGGTTCCAGAACAAATGATCTTAAGGAAAATCTGAAATAAAACTCATAACTAACTATCATATTACTTTATCGGAAACGTTATTTATGATGATGTATAAGCTGCCCTAATGAATGTTAACATTTACCGATAAAAGGTGTATAAAAAAATCTGGAATCGGTGAATACGATATTTAACAATATATTTTAAGCTGATTTACATTTGCTTCGATTATTCTTTTTCAGAAAAATATATTTTCTTTTCAAATTTGTATCGTACTTTTTTTATAATAAAAAAGTACCGTCGCAAGCAAAGTGGACACGGGATTTAACAAGAAAATTATTTTTGCTTTCGCGAGAAACTTCTATTTACTCCGGTTTCCGGGCGTACAGCCAATTTAACTGTGATAAAATTTCAACCGCTTGCAAAATGAGAGAATATCCATATTTTACAAGTGCTTTTTGATATAATTGTGATGTAAACCGCGTGATAAATGTTATTTATTTATAAATTTTGTTTAATGATGATATTTGATCAATATTAAGATTATATAAATTTGTTTTCTTTTAATTTAAATCGCTAAATATCACAGTGACAGATTTAGTGTTAGTTTGACAAAAAATATCGGAAACTCTTCTATGTTTATAATAGAACTTATTTTTTTTTTGCTATAGTTCCGTTAATATAACCTCTCTATCAATCTGTAAACTTTTGCTGCAACGTGTTGTTCTAATATGAAAAATAAATATGTACTTCATTAGAACTTCGTGCTAATATTACGTCTGTCTTCTCTTGCAAATGAAATGGGCGTGTCACAGCAACATTAGGTAATATAATACACTAGCAAATTATGCAACTTTTAAATGTTTTTGCGAAACTAGAAAACCACCCTGTCATTTCGAATATAGTCTTTAATTAGTTTGAAACGTGTCGCCAGTTTTCGCAGACATTTTTTATTTGGTTGGCTGCTCTGTGGTTACGGTTTAATGATGGCTGTGGTAATAATGTATGTACATAACTTTGTGTTACTATAATAATTGTCCATGTAAATAGTCTAAGCTTACATTCGTGCTCATGCATAAATTAACCCTTATACGTTTGTTTATTAATAATAATTTCGTATGGCACTGAATTGCCAGAAACGTGTAATACTTATTTTTAATAATACTACATAAATACATTATTTAGTTTTAAATTTTTACGTCTTTTTTTGAGAATATTGGATCATGGTTATTTTGCAAAGCTTTAGAATATATTCCCAGAAAATATATATTTATGATCTGTTAAAAATTTTAAACTACTATTTATGTATATAGGCATGCTTTGAATATTTTTTTCGAAATATTTTTGCATGACCTTTTAATGATATCTGCTAGTTTTCTATCTTTTTCGTGGTTATTACATAATTTCTTTAATTGTAACGTTTACAAAGTTGAAAGTCTACAAAGATGATAAGCTTTTTATTATCTTTACAATATACAATTACGCATTAGAATGCAATTTAGGTATGATTGTACTTTTAAAACCTGTTTGCGATAATTTTAATAGTGTAGCCTCTTCATTTTAGCTTCACTGGCGACATTTTTATACCAAACGACATCAAAGCATGGTGAAATAATTCGAATAAAATTATGATACTTAAAAAAAATCTCATCGCTAATCGATCGAGTGTTGTCCCCATAGAGGCTATCCGAGAAATTTTTAGACTTTATAGTTTATATAAACTTTTTCAAAATAATAATAAAAGCATACATTTCACTATGTTTTGGTGTCATTTATTTGTTACGCCTTGTAATAAGGGATTTCCTCTAAAATCTTTTTCTAATTTCAAGTTTGCCTTTTTAGTGTCCTATTTTGTTGCTGCATGGAGGAAGTCTCGGAAAATTATTTCAAGTCTCAGTAAATTAGAGTTTAATATTGTTCGACGCATAGATATAGTAACAGGGTGGTTTGTGCGTACAGGAGCCGCGGTGCGGCCATCGGCTGGCGTGGTCACTCTAGCGTTATCCCCATTTGTACCCGCAGCGGCACTCTTGGGCGCCAGGTTCCGCGCTGAATCTAGTTGCCTACTTCCAGACCCGAATGGAAATCTTGACCCCGAAGCGCCCTCGCCCGCAAACATGGGCAGGCGGCGCTCAAGGGCCGTACTATACCAGCTTTCAGGACACTATAAGCCAGATAAGATGAAGAGTAAACTAAAACTCAACAATGTTAGTAAGGTAAACCTTTATAATGTTCCCTCGGTTGATCCCATTTTTGAGAGTTTACGAACACGCAAAATTTTAGATAATAGACATCTCTAGTTCCATTGCTTCACTGTTAAACTAAAACTAAATGACGAAACTGTGTATGTAGGACCAGGTACACATACCTATTTACTTCTATATCTTATATTTGTTTTAAAAAGAAACTAGCCTTAAAGAGTACTCAATATGTATTAATTTATTTTTGTCTCTTCGATCTTAATGTTTTTGAAGATTTAATGCTTCACTAGGTATCACTCAAAACTGGCTACAATATTAACGTTTTATATCTGATAATATTATTATTATAAGTTCATGGTTATAATTAATGTGTAAGCTTTTGCACTTAGACTATTCTGTTTCTTCAGAATTGATTTCTTTTTTCGATTAAAAAACGTTCTTTTACCTATGTATGTTAAAATCAAATCTTTATCAAAGGCAGTTTCAAATCTGCCTCCGTTTAAACTGATTGAGAAAAATATTTTATGGAATATTAGCGTTTAGAAATTACATGAATTTTCGTTTTCAAGAAAGCAGAGTAAGCCCTCTGATTTAATTTATCTTATCTATTGATCGAGATATCGTCTCAAATTAGTTACGGTATGTTCATTGTCTCACAAACTTTAGTTCTGAACTATCCCTTTTGCACACAGAAACGTGTGTTTGAAATTAAATCGAGCCTTTGGTAAAATTGATTATAACTCGTCTTAACTTTACAGAACCTACTTCATTCATCGGATCCACCACTACCCGAATACAAGACGTCAGCGGTAAAGAAGTCCCGATTTATAATATCACATTATGGCGTTTTTAAAACGTTTTGGGATTGGCTCATTCTCATAGCGACTTTTTATGTAGCGGTAGTGGTTCCATATAACGCCAGTTTTGTAGATGAGGGCCACCCAAGAATAAGCGTGACCAGCGATGTGGTAGTTGAAGCTTTATTTATTGTCGGTAAGTAAAATGGTTTTGGTTAGTGAAAATAAATTTTTAGATGTAACAACTACCTACTAGTGGTCACATCACGGTGGGAATAAGGTCGTAAAGTTTGGAATTTATTAAAGTTATTAATAATCAAAGACTTATACTTATCAAACGAATGGTAGTGTCACTTGCCACTCCATATACTAATGAAGAATGAATTTATTATTATCTATACTATAATATAATAAAGAGGAAAGGATTGATTGTTTGTTTGCATCGATTAGCTCCGAAAATACTGGACAGATATTAAAAATTATTTCACCTACGAAAAGCTACATCATATGTGGTGGACATTAGGCTATATTTTATCCCGAAAAAAAAAAAAAGGAATGAAATGAGATTGGTTACTGTAGTAGCCAATGTTTACTATTCAATTTGTCACTGATATTATATTCTTAATGAAAATTGCTTAAAAAATCCACATAGTTTCTTAAATTAAATTCTAAGCATGGATTAACATATGGACTACTTTTTATCCCACTAAACAACTGTTTAGTGGGATAAAAGCTACCATTTTCCGACTTTGTCCGCGTAGTCTCTAGGGAACTCTCTAGAGATTACGCGGGCGAACCTGCTGCCGGAAATCTAGTAATATAAACTTTAATGTTTCTTACGTGTTAATGTACATTTTTGTTTCAGATATAGTGCTTAATTTCCGTACGACGTTCGTCAGTAAGAAGGGCGAAGTGGTGTCTGATTCTAAGGCGATAGCTCTTAATTACATCCGTACATGGTTTGTCGTGGATCTCCTGGCTGCCCTCCCCTTTGACCTACTTTATGCTTCAGACGTATACAGTGGAGCTGTAAGTGTAAAACTAAACGTTTTAACGTGTTGCCACCATTTAATTATTATCCGACTCGGAGTTAAATAGCTTTGCATAGTTTTCCTCAATTCATTATGGTCGTAAAGTGAATAATTTATTTCCACCCCGACTCGTAAACATGCCCGCAAATCATTTTACTTTAGCAGTGAAACGTGACCATTTACTCGACAATTGAATACATTTAAAGTCAGCGTTTTAGTTTATACCTTGTAGGTACATTGTCAATTTTGATTACCCGAGTATGAAATCTCTGGACATAAATTTAATGGACACATTTCATATGAAATACTTTAAACATTGACTTAATATATATCCTGTAAATTGTTACTGTAAAAGCCTGAAGTTTGGCATATCTTATGATTTTCCAGGATTTACCGATGCTCAATGCTAAAACTTCAAACTGCACTGTGATATTTGTTCATTTCGTATTTTTACCTCCATGCCTTCCATCGGTACATCTTGGGTTTTACAACAGAAGCTCGGTAAATGTTGATAGATAAATCCAAATATTCAAAACGGAAATGAATTTTCTGCAATACGTAATTCTGCTAATCAGCATTTAATTGAGGATTCAAGTTCTGATAAATATACAATTAAATAGATTAATTTGACATTATTTGATATATGATCGAAATTATTGGCGATTATATTTTATTGGCGATTAAAAATAATAAGTAATAAAAATATCGTTTTGGTGATAAATTAGTATGAGGCTTTAAATAATAGGTGAATATAGGAGGTGATCTTTCGAAAGAAACAGATTTGGCGATCAGTTAGTTTTTGTCTTATTATTTATTATATGTATGTATATATATCGTTGACATATATGTATTTGTTATAGATATATAATATATATTATAAGTTTTTATGTATTGTATCTACTATTTGTCAAGAAATCTTAATACTTTTTATTGTGCACCCTACCACCATCGGTCTCCCCACATCACTCTAAGGTTGACTAGGAGAGAATGCCTAAAGTATTAATTCCGCCAATGTAAAAATTAAAAGAAATATATAATAGAAATTCAAGAATACTGAATACTTGTTATTTTAACAATATTAACATTTACCTACCGCTATCGATCGAAATTAGTATGGTCTTAACTGAAACTGTAAAACTCCGAAAAACTGTCTTTTAACCATAACATTTACCAACTTATGTTGGTAAATCCTAAGATTAACTAGCTAACCCTTAGATTTGCCAACATTAACCTATATACTGTAACATATGTAGTTATATCTTATGTACAGCAGTGAATATTTTACAAAAGATGATTCTGAGAGAGGTTGTTAGGTTGCGATATCGTGCTGCCTAACCAAGATGTAGCTCAACCCTAAAATTCCCTTCTTTCGACTTCTTAGGGGCTTTCCATTCACATTGATTTGCATTTGTCTTAAATATTCTTTATGAATCCATCAACTTATGAAAATCCGTTTCTACTAATTTAGTACCTAGTCACCCAAAAATACGTTAAAAATCTTGGAAAAATAACAAAACAAAATCGAATCGAATAGGTAATTGGATCAGAATACACATTCTCAGTTACTCACCTATAATTGTTTGGAACATATTCCTCCTAACACTCTTGCATGTAGATTGTGTGAAGCAGATGAATAATTAAAAACGTTATGTATTTATATATATTTTTTTTTTTTAGGAATCAACGCATGGAAACGTTCACTTAGTGAAACTGACAAGACTTCTTCGTTTGGCGCGATTGCTGCAGAAGATGGACCGGTATTCGCAGTACTCAGCTTTAATACTGACGCTGCTTATGCTTTCTTTCACACTTGTCGCCCATTGGCTCGCTTGCATATGGTTCATCATCGCTGAAAAAGAAATAGCGTTCCACAAAAATGAAAGTTGGGACTTAGGTAAGACAGATATATAAATTCTTAGTTGGATATAATTACAAAAAAACGAAACACAAAAGTGTATACACAAATTTTTTTTTTTAGATTGTTTGTGTATTCTCTTTTTGCGTTTCGATTTTGTTCAAAATAAAAATTTGTGATATTTTTTCTCTATTTTCAGTCGTTTCTCTTTATTACGGTAATTTTTTTTAATTCGTTTATATTGTAATAATAGAAGTTATCACCGATCCATATTACTTAATTCTTACTTATGATAATTGGATACCTTCGTCATACATACTTATATTTTCCGGATAAACATTTTCTCAGATGGTACCTAAGTTCAATGAATCAATATTATAAAAAAAAATAGAGGTATTATCTGATCATAAACACCATCAAAGGATAAATAAACTTTTCCTGTAATTTTACTGTAACCGACTTTTATAAGTACTGTATTGTTTATAGAACCTACTGTATTTTTAGCTGACAAAACTTTTGGGATCTGGAAGCACTGGTTAATAGTTTTTTAATTTCAATTTAGAATTAATTTATATTAAATAACAAAAGATAATTGGATTTCCATTCTGCTGCCAATTAATTATAATGTTTAAAGCAAACCGCAACGGCGTCAAATCAAAGTCAAAATCAACTTTTTGGTTGATTTAAAAGCTCCTAAGTTTTCAGACTTGAACGTTTTTAAATATCAAGATTCCAATTACCAATGAAATCATAGAATTATATTAGATTCAAAGGAGTTTTATCAACAGAATCCACAAAAGTTCTGATTATTTAAAATTGTTGAATTCGTCAATCAGTCCAGTAATTACTTGTGTAACGAAGCTTTAGATAAATTAGAATAAATTTGGTTGATAAAATAAGAATTTTAGTGATATATGAAAGTAATAATTCTTGTCTACCAAAAAATGTAATACCAAATAATGGGACGATTCAGCAAAATATTATCGTTTTATCGCATGAAATCCAATATCTGATTAATGATGAAGCTTAAGATAGAATGATAGCAGTCATTAATAAACTTTCACGACTTAGCCGCAGTCTGAGCATGATTTATGATAGTCCATATTTACTGCTAACTCCAAATGCAGTAAGAGATAATGATAAAAAAGGTCATTACTGTTATACGGTTTATACCGCACATTAAGGATAAACCCGCTTCAGCATTTACATATTCATTAACATTTTCTACACATTGCAATCAAGGCATCAAATCAAAATGGTTTATTCAGTCTAGGCTTATACATAACACTTGTTGAAGTCGGAAAATATGCCGACGGTTCGCAAAACTACAGCGGGAGACCTTGTACTGAGAAGAACCGGCAAGAAACTCAGCAAGGGCTGTTTTTTTCTCCTTGTTTTATTTCACACAGAGAGGTCTTATGGAAAAGTGACTTCATTAGAATATAAAGTCACTTTCCATTGTCGCGAGGCATTATCGCGAGCATCGAGTATCAAATGTTTCATTCACTAATAAATCAATATCGAGGACAACATGGATTATCGTTTATCAATTTAATCAGTTAGTTCGTGGATCAAGCAAAGTACGCGAACTACCGTTATACTTTTATTGCTTTCATTAATAGTCATTTTAGGGTTCCGTAACCAAAGGTTTAAACGGGAACCCTATTACTAAGACTTCGCTGTCTCTGTGTCACCAGAATAAAATAAATATTTAAGAGAGCTCCCATGCATCAAACATGATTTTTTTTACTTGTTTTTGCTAGATAATGATAACGACAACAGACACTTGTTTTAATGGATAATGGCACGGAAATCCGATAGCACGAGCCCGCCTCCGTAATTGGCCGTTGTTTTTTTTGAAACGGTGTCAAATTGTTTATCGCAAAGATTTCTATTATCGTAAACAGTTCATCATGCTCTCATTGAATACCCGTATCACATCCTATATTGTTGTAAAATTGTGTGCCTGAATTGATTTGCATGACAAGCAACCGATTAAATCTTTCCTATTTATAATATTAGGATTTTCTAATTCACCTTCCAAAAGAGTCAGGCATATTTTGATTAACGTGTATATCAATTCGACATTGGATTATGATCGATCCAATAGTTTCAGAGAAAATCCTTTAAGCTTTCAATCAACTGTTACGACTTTACATCACTGAAATAAGTAGAAAAAAGACATTCGATGTGTTCGAATAGAAATAAATTTGAATAAAGCCACCTACACGTACTATTGTTTACAGGCTGGATAAATAATTTGGCGGAACGGCTCAAAGTGCCGATTCCGAATATCTCTCACAGCGAGAGTTACGTCACAGCATTATATTTTACCTGTTCTTCGCTGACCAGTGTTGGCTTCGGAAACGTGTCAGCTAATACCCTGCCAGAGAAAATCTTCAGTATACTCACTATGTTGGTTGGAGGTACTAAATATTTTGGATTTATCGTTAATTTTGATTTTGATGTATAGTTTACTTCAAACTTAGTTTCTCCATTAGCTAAATTACCTACGTATATCGCGTTTCCCCAAAAAACTTCAAAGCTCGTGCAGCTCGTACGAATTAACATGACACCTGAAGGTCTATTCTATTTCCCCGAAAACGTAACTTCGTCTATTTTTAAATTGATAATACAACTCCAAAGAAACCATTTCGAGATAATTTATGATGCAACCAAGATAGAACTTGACACTGCTTTAATATATAGGCAATCTTCACGGATATGATGAATTTAACAGATTTATAAGAACGATTCGAAATTTTCCCAATTTTCATTCGAGGTGAAATAGAATAGGCCATCAGGTGTCATGTTATTTAGTAAGATTTATAATTTCATAGTGTATTCGCTGGGTGCGAAGTAGCAGATGGAGGAACCACGAAACCATAGCAGCGCACACCGTGGTGGCAAAAGAAACTACGGTTGTACGAACTGTAACTTTTTACTGGAGAAAATAACGTATACGTGCATTTTAATTAAAAAAAAAACTTACGTCACCAACAAACTGTCAGAAAACAGTGATTGATGTTGAGAGTATAATGCAACGGCTAAGACTATATCCAATATTAAAAAAAAATACCATGTTTCATTGAAATTACTGTTTGTTGACATAATCAGTTCGAACTGATCGCTGGCCATTTGTCATTACAAAGTTCAACGTCATTGTAACCGCTAGTTGGAGCCGCCATCGCGCACCCAGCGAATAGTGCTAGTACAATATTTTTCACTCTTTTATCTTTAGCAATGCAGCATTTTCAATCATATCGGCATACTCAAAAGTGATATCATTAGGCTCACAGAAAACATAAAAGAGGTCTCACTTAAACAAATATAATTGCTAATGTACAAAGAACGATTAAGAAAAGGCTCTTGAGCTTTATATGTGTATATGTGGCAATAAGCATTACCAGGAAACCTAGTTACTTGGCACATAATGAACAAGTGTACCCACAATATGTTGTCATCAAAAATAAGAGGATTGACCTTGCCCTTTCTCAGAGACCCATATTAAGTGGTTAATCTCTAGCAACTCCGCAACTTACCACTTTACTGCCTAATTTGGTCACTCACTATTCATGTAATACATTATATATTCATAATGCTACATTGTTATTAGAAAAGGTTATTACTATACCTACAGCTAGTTTTTCGCCTGTTTCTTCGCCTGTCCGTTTTCCCGTTATATTTTTGCAATTTTTTTTATTGTTGCTTCCTCAATAAATAGACTATTCAACACAATGATGCTTTTTTAATTCGAACTAGTAGTTCCTGAGATTATTAACGCATTCAACCAAACAAACAAACGAATTCTTCAGCTTTATAATATTATTAAAAAAATTAAGATTTACAACATTGTCTCGTACAGATCACTATTACTTTCAATATAAAATAATTCCATTGCTAGGTCCAATAACTTCAGCACTCCGCTGCGGTGATAAAGCGATATCCTTATTGATTAAATCGGATTTTCTCATTCAGTTTATAACGCAAGCTCCTTTCACAACGCATCTGCTCGCTCCAGGCAGTCATTTTTCTTTTTCTCGTTAATTAGTTTTGCTTCGGAAAAGTGCGAAGTAACTGTATAATATAATAAATATTACGTAGCAGAATCTGACTGTTTATGAGGAAAAAGGAAGTGTTTTTGTGAGATTTTATATAAGAGATTTTAGGGAATAACACTATCGCTTCAATATATATTTACATCACCTTCTGCGTCTTACTTAAAGTGGATTTTCACGCAAAAAACATACTTTTTGTTTACTCCAAAACTTCCGTAAAACCACCCTGTTTATTGTCAATCCAGTCGTATTTCGTAGAAAGGAATGCTTATAAGAAATTGAATATATATGGGTATACTATTTTTTCAAAAGTCGATAGCTCAATTGTTAATGTACCTTTGTAAAGTCGAATCAGTGGATGGGTGACCAGAGAATTTATTCTGTCGAGTTCCATTTTCTTTAAATACCAATACATTAACAATAGTTAAACGGTTGATTCCAACAACCGCACTAGGTCTACTTAGTGAGTTATGACCAGTGGTCGGAATTAGGTAGAGTTATTCATGTACTTACACTGATTTCATACAGCGAAAGAATAAAGTGGATATGTCTCAAAAACCGAGATAAATTTTAAAGAGCAGAAATAATCCCGTCATTTTTTAAATAAAAAGTTATTTACTTTTACACAATTTAAACTACTGCACGCACGACGTTGCCAAACTTACATCAATGAAAGAAAGAAATAAAGAATGAAGAAATAAAGAAATAAAGAAATCCCGGTAAGGTCCACATTAATATCAACATTTCGATGCAAGTACATAAATAACTCTACCTAATTCCGACCTCTGGTTATGACTCGTTCTCCATATGAAATTCTGTCACAAGATACACGAGGAAAGTCTTTATCCCAGAAGTGGAAACAGTAAGATGGCCAATAGATGATTGCCCGCCGTAAAATGTCAAATCAAACCTAGTACTAAAGTTAGTCTTCGTATTATAATAAAATTGTAATAGTCTGATACTATGATGCCATACTATAATAATATTTACATTTCCAGCACTAATGCATGCAGTCGTCTTCGGTAATGTAACAGCTATAATACAAAGAATGTACTCCCGTCGGTCCATGTATCAAAGCAAATGGCGAGACCTAAAAGACTTCCTGACTATCAATCAGGTTCCGAAGGAGCTAAAGCAACGCATGCAGGACTATTTCCAGACAATGTGGTCTTTAAACCATGGTATTGATATACACGAGGTGAGTTACATAAAAATTTAAATATAGAAAATGTTCTTATTTTTCCATATTTTTATCTCAGTTGTTTTGGATATCAGAGTACCTATGCAATATCTCTTTACTGATTTTTCAAGAGTCCTGTGAGTAAAATATGCGCACGGGTAAATAAATAAATAAACTTTAAACAACATCACATACATTGCTCAGATTCCAAGATGAATAGCTAAAGCCCCCGTATTATGGAGTATCTGAGACCACAACACCCAGACTCGAGACAAAATAGAAAAAAAAAACATTTTCTATATTGACCCGACTGGGAATCGAACCAGGGACGTCAGAGATTGCGACACCTTGAAATGGGCGTGTGAACCACTCGGCTACGGCGGTCGTCGAAATATCAACATCGTATTCAACGACACCCTACTTGACATAGTTCATCGATTTTTTTTTCATTTTGACAATATGACGTCTGGTTCTCGCTGTCATGGATTTTGATTACTATCATGTCTTTAGTGACGAATCGCTTGACGTAAGAATCATCAAAATTGGCCTACACATTTGGTCTCTAGAACGCCACATAGAAACAAACATACATACATAGACTGATTAACCACATTTCCCTCCTTTGTGTCGCGCAGTCTGGTAAATAATAAAAGCACAGGAGCGCCAATCTCAATTCCTCGATACCTCAATAGTTTCCTTTGTCTTTTTCTATTTTCTTTAGATTTTAACACAACGTGCGCGCTCATGTCCCTCATGACTCAATGTTATTAACTTTATGTTATCACATAGAAGTTGATAATAATTTAAGACCCTTTGTACAGCTCCTATCTCATATATACTTTTGACATAAGCAAGAAAACATTTGAGACATGACACTAAATCATGGGAGTGATCAGCGCGTCCAATTTCCTTTTCTTTGTCGGAAGAGCGGTCTTACTGACACGAATTAGGTATAAATATTTAGAGTACAGTACACGTAGTTAGTAGAGCTACTAAAAAAAGTCAGATTCCTCCAATAGATTTTAAAAGTAAAAATGCATTCTAACGCACTCTGAGATAGGACTCGAACCCATGACACAATGATGCAGTTCTACAAACACAGCACTGTATCTCCGAAACTATTAATCGCAGACATGATGTTACTTCTACTTTATTTTTCAGATATTAATGGACTATTTATTTATAAAATTAAAGAAAGTTGTCAACTTGTCCTACTGGTCTCAAAAAAATCTATAGCTATTACCAATAAAGAGAAAAAAATAGATTTATATACCAAATAAATTTATCATTAAGAATATTATAGAGCTTTACGTTATTTCATCTAATGAGAAGTTTTGCTTCAGCATCATTAGAAGACAGCTACTATAATTATCTGTACCTACATGAACGTAGAGATTAGTCGTTATCACAATTACTCAGTTTCCTTTTCATATCTATACCCATCTAATTTTCTGCTACAAATACTTGATCTGGATGCGTGTCAAGGAAAAAACACCAGGGAAATTGTATTGAGGTGGCAACAATGTCTGGTGCCAACTTACCTTGTCAGCAAGCCCGAAAATGAGAAAAAGACCCTTAAAAACCGAAATAACCTAGATAACATACTAAAAATACTAGTAATGAAATTAGTTTTTACCGCATAATTATCATGAATTCTTTTTACTTGTGGTGTTAATATACAATTTAACTGCCATGATACAATAACTTATTTTAATGAATCCCATCTAACCTACGGTTGCCTGTGAAGAAATTACTTTTTAGCGATAAAAACAGGTTCGGTACAAAACATTTTTCATTGATATCATAATATTTCATCGCATAGTCATAAATTCACAATTTACAATTCAGGATTATTTGTAGCTCATGTTATTATTTGTGTTAGAGGTAATCGCTAAACATACAAAAAAAATCTGTGGTTGTAATAATAACACACTTAAGTAACACATTTAAATATCATTTAATTTTCTGTTGGAAACCAATATCAAATTAATTTAATAGAGGAGACTGAGGGACTTTGAAATAGAGATGAGTTGATCACTTACCACCGTAATCAGTTCATATGCGATGATACGAACTTGCTGACTATTCTTCAATTTCGAGGTATCACGGCTGTTTCAAGTCACCTCTATTTTAAAATATATCTATTTCTTACTAATGCTACAACAAAAACGAATATTCAGCACATTACGACATATAAATGAGTTTTTCAAGATTAATGTCAGATTTATTTAGTCAGCACTGATGAATGAAGTTGGTTTCCTATGGTGTTTTCCAAGACTATTATTAATCACATACAAAATCCAATACCTAAGAATAAAAAACTGCGTAGTATGTTTATCTTCAACTTTCATGAAACGCATATTATTTTACTTTGTTCTGTCTGTATGTATGTACATATTTAAAGTTCTGTTTGTAATACTTACACCCATTTCCACTAAGATTACGAATCACCAAAGCAGATTAGCTTAATTCCAAATAAATATTTTATTATTTTATCCCTTGACATATTTATGACCTGTCATATAGGCAAATGCCTAGCGCAAGGCACAGCATAACAATATATAATAACTTTAGACATTGCTTAATTTCGTTAAGTGGTTCCTAGACAATGGTGAAATGCATATTTACCATAGGTAATTCCAAAATATTTAATCGACAGATTTGGGGCTACACCAAAGTTTAGTGAAAACGGGCATTAGAATAGTATTGGGAAGATACATTATCTTACAAATTATACTCATAAGCTAAACTTATTTGGTTTATGTAAATATTAGTTTACTGTTTATACGAAAGATTTCATAAGAAAATATTAAAATAATACAAGATAGAAACTCACTAAGCCTCACATATATAATATTATTTTACGTAATATAATTTATTCTACATTCACTTGGATGTTTAGAAAGCTCTCCAGTAAACTTTGTTTAGACGCGTTGTACGTTATATAGACGTCGACATTTCGAAGAATAATTTCGTCTTATCCCCTAAGTTCAATACTTCAGAATTTCTTGTAAATCCTATTTTCATTTTATTGCCTGTGTGCTGTTTAATCTTAGACTTTGAAAGAATTCCCGGAGGAGCTCAGAGGGGACGTATCACTGCATTTGCACCGAGAAATATTGTCACTTCCGATATTCGAGTCGGCGTCACAGGGCTGCCTCAAGTTGCTATCGTTACACATCCGAAACAACTTTTGCGCGCCTGGAGAATACTTAGTTCATAAAGGTGAGATATTACGCAGTTTCTAACTTTGCAATCTTTACGTTTAATTCCTTTCAGAATATCAGTTTATTTTGATAGAATAAGGTTGCGGACTGGTCTTTGTTTCGACAGTATATTCTATTGAGTTCAATTAAACAAAGTTTATGTGTTATTTGTTGTTAAAAATAACCTTTTTTTTATTTCACCCACCATTTATATCGCCTTGCTGTGAGGATCCCTCAACGACTGGCACGTGCTGCTCACCATCTAATGCATAAAAATTAGAACAAAATTACTTAATTAATTAAAAAATCATTCGCCCTAATATATTCGTAAAACAGATTTCCTTTCAATTTTATACTCGATCCTTAACCTCGTTTTGTCGGTCTTATTGACGGGCGACGTATAAAACTCCGTTAATTAAATAGGATATCATACGATACGTGCTCATCTGCAAAATGAACCACACAGAAAGCAAAATGAAAGGGATATAGAATCTAATTAATTAATTATTCTTTTACCCTCTTCTCGCTACCAATCACGCGTTCCCGATTTGATTTAACAGTAAATACAATCAATAGCACTAAGAGTTATGTAAAATGGACAATGTACTTTAATGTATGATATACTAAAATATTATTTTGTTGAAGGCTAATTTCAAAGACGACTTTGAAAATTAGCTATTATGTGAATAACATTTTTTTTTTGTTTTAAGGTGATGCTCTTACTTACATTTACTATATATGCAATGGATCAATGGAAGTTATGCAAAACGACATGGTAGTCGCTATACTCGGTAAGTTTTAATTGACAACCTTAATGATATCTTTAATTTGATTCCGATTAGCGACTTAAAATTTAAAGCAAATAATTTCATAATAATTTACAATGAATAAATGTTATATTCAAAGGCAAAGGGGATTTAGTGGGCTGCGATATGAATACACATTTGCAAGCTTACAATGGGACAGGACAAAACCAGAGTAATAATCCGGACATTGTTGTAAAATCGAGCAGTGATGTCAAGGTAAGTGGCACGTATTTAATTACCATATGTAAATTTGGCGAGTGATTATCTTACAGATTATACATATTTGTTATACATATCTATACCTATCTAGGTATATGTACATTTGCATATAAACTCCCCTCTCTAGTAGCGTATGTATGATTGATAAACCGCTCTCATAATTTTCATTTACCACAAACGAGGTGGAAACACTTCACGTACTATCTCTCTACTTTTTACAACTTATCCAGTAATATATAAAAAACGTTACTTTATTGTTTTGTAACAAAGAGTCAATAAATCAAATAAAATTTGCAATATATTAAACGTCGTCGTCTGTTCAAGACACAGTTTTATAAAATCTCTCTATCAAATAAACTCTAATGAAATTTCTTACAAAACACCGCAACGATGTCGAAAGTTACGGAACTAAGTTGTAGTTTCGAAACTTCACTATAAATCGAGGGTTACTCTCAGCAGACCGAACAAATAACATTAACAATTAACTCTATTTGTAAATCTATACTGAAGCAGTTTATGTACTAGACATCACAAATAAGAGGAATTACAATAAAATTGATCAGACTTTTTTCGACCGACCTTCTTCAATTTCCAATCTGAGACCAATTCTGTTTAGCCGGGAGTCTTTTCAATTCATTATAATTATTCAGTGGTGGATTTACCTTAAGGCCACAGTAGATCTGGGCCTAGGGCGGTCAAACATTAGGACCGTCCAATAATGACATAAAATATTATGTGCCAAAAGCTGAATGATAAAATCGCAGGTACTGTTAATTGTATCTGGAGTTGTTTATCAAAGACAAAGTTTTACATTAATACAGGTACCTATGCTGAGCCAAGATAAGAATGGGAGTAAAACAGTTGTTATAACCTTTTAAAGTATTATCATGGAATATCGACTGTCATTCATTACTCAGGGGCACACTAAGATTATCCATTTTACATTGATATACCAACAAATGTTAGCAAAGATAAGAAATTATATTATTTTTCATCAAAATATTTTTAAATCTATTTCAATAATTGACAAGAATGTAAATTCATATGCAGTGCCTTATGAGAGCTAAAAGGTACACCACATGGTCTAGAGCGGCCAAACTTGCAAATTCAACTCTGATTAGGTAAACATAAAGATAATAGGTGTTATAAAAATATTTATCAATTATCTCTTAAATATTTTTATTGCGACATAGTTTGTGAAGGAAAGTAATAAATTATTAACAATATGGCTATTACATTCCGTGATATCAGAGGTTTATAAGATACTTATATTTTCATTTTCTATTAGAAGAACGGTACTGAAAATGTTCAATAGAGTATTAAAATAACCAAATTTATTTATTTTATAAGTATAGTAACGTCATATAATTGCTTAGCAAGATTTCTGGAATTTATTGATGCAAAATGCAACTTGTAGGCAACGCTCGACTGCTTTTGCTCTCCTATTAGAGGGGATTAACCCATTTTTCCGTTATGCACGGAAGCACAATTTTTTAAATCCCCAGTAATAAACCTCGCGAACTCTTATATACATTTTTCTATAACTAGAGAATGTTTTTACCCAATTAGAATTAGAAGTATTTTTAGAATGTAGATTTCTATGTCTGCTGAAACCTAAACGATATGACGTATTTTGACGAAATATCAGTAGATTCATCTTGAGAAAAGCCAAGTTGACTAATAACATCTAAAAATCAATAGTATTAGACGTATTCAGAAATTCTTGAGAAGTGCAGTAGTCGTAAGTATTATAGTGCCCACAGTGTGGATCTCTTCAGAATGTTGCTTGAGGGGTTATTATAATTCAAACATCCTATTTTGAATTTCTTCACTTATCTCGAAAATTAACAATGTTTTTTGAATATTAATAGTTTTATACTTTCGTAATAGCAATGCCACAAAAAACTATCATTCTAATTAACAATTACTATTTTAATAGTAACTAAAATACTCTTAACTCCTATTTCTAAGCCGATATAAGCCGAAAAGGAGGATAATCAACCAACAAGAAAAGACGTCATGAATTCGAAAGCGAAAAGCGAAAGTTTCATTTTTTTAAGAACTATGGAGAAGACGGGCAATTTTAATAGGATAACAATCGAAATAGGTTTCAGGCTTAGGCTTCTTAGGTATAGGAATTATATTAACATCCTTTGTTTGTGAAAGAGTGCTAATTATAAGATTAAAGATGGGGAGAGCAACATGCACATTCTGTCATACCAAGTACTTTTGGAATCTACTTTTGGAATGTAAGTATTTATATCGGTACTTGGTAGATCACTCAATGAGGAGTGTCAAAAAACTCATGTTGATTACATTACTGCTTACTCTGTAGTAAGGTATCTAAATCTGTCCCATGAAAAGTTCCCACAGACGCAGCGTCCCTGTCGTTTTACAATAAGCATCACTAACCTCTATTAGTTTTATGTAATTAAAGATCTATCTAGAAAGAGCACTGCCAATGAAATTTTAAAGCAATATCTAACTATATGCATCGCTTTTTATGCCTGGATCTCTTCTTCCGTATTGCTATTGACTGTCAATGGTATCATATCTGCTCTTAAGATCTATAAATTGGTAAGGCTTTTTAAAACTATTCGATTCAGGTAAGTATCGATACTTTTCATTCGAATCCAAGTAATTATCGATACCTCATGACTGATACGGTATCGAGTAAAAGTATCAATACCTAGATGGTATCGTTTCATCCCTAATTGATAAAGCGCCTGGTTTTTGGCGAGTTCGTCGTTTTCAACATAAATATGTCGTCTGTGTTTATCCCTTTTTAATGTATTGCCGAGATTTCTGATTTGATTCTGATTGATAACATACTTATGACTAATAAATTAACATTTTATTTTTTTACTCCCTTCGCCTCAAATTTTAACGCTCTCAAAATCCAATTTACCTCAAAAGAAAATTTCCTTTATTTTATAACTTGGTACTCAAACAAATTATATTAAGCACTTCCCATTTTATTAAATATACCTCATATATTTAGAAATAAAAACTATTTTGATTATTGTAAGGTATCAAGTAGTTTAATAAGAAGACTAATTTCAAGGCAAGGCTAGAATTCTATTAAGAAATATGATCATCATATTTCTTTTAATATATGTAGATACTGATACTTGTCTCATAACAAAAAAACGGTAATAACGTTTTATCTCAAGTACATTCAAACAGCGACAAAGCAAATAAATGTAATATGTTTTCAGCAAACACAATTCAACATTTGAAAGATATAAATATACGAATGTTAAATAATATTCAAAGTAAAACTGAATATTCCACTGATTACATTGAAATTTCGCGGCGATTAGCTTTTAATTGTGCGACTGTCGTAAATTCTATCTTAGAACGTAAAATACATTTTCCAAATTGATATTTCTAAAATGTAGATACATAAGTATCTCCGAAAATCTAAGTAATGACTTAATCCAAAGTCTTGAAGACGCGAGATTTGGTATTCATTTCACTTGCTGTAAATTAATTCGTTTGAAACGATGGTTCTGCACCTAAAATTGATATATCTACTTACAAAAGATTTTTAAACTTATGTCAATTATTATTATTACTTATGTTTAATGTAATGAATTTGCATTACATTATCAAAAAATCATTTAGTGATACTAGAGTGATACTGTCAACATTTGTTTGTTTTTTTTTTATTTCGCAGGCTCTAACTTACTGTGATTTAAAATGCATTCATATGGGAGGGCTAGCTGAAGTCCTAAGGCTATATCCTGAATACCAGCAAGAATTCATTCATGATATCCAACATGACCTCACGTATAACTTGCGGGAAGGATATGAAGCAGAGCAAGAGTCTGATGGGAACGGTCACCCATCTCTCACGTTACCTTCCATATCAGAAGATGACGAGAATGCTGCTGAGGATACAGCATTATCGCCAAAGAAACCAACATCGAGCGCTAACAGTCCACGACATGCAAAATTCAGGTAAGGTATGTTTTCATTTATCAAATTGCAATCTAGTCACGTCAAAGTTATGGCCCGTGGTCATAATAAATCACAGATTCTTTTTTGAGTAAAAATCTCACTTCATTTATATGTAATTTATATAACTTAAAGAGTAGCGCAAGCCTAAATGAGCGCGAGAATATTAATCATTTGTGCTTTTCTTATTCAGTATATCTTAATATTTTTTATCCAAACCTATCCCGCCTACACATTCTAAATCTAATATATGGTTTTCTGTAAATTTGCGTTTGGCATCTCTGCTGTAATCTGATATGGTATATCTAATAATTACAATTTCTTAACATCAGGGTTAAAAAAGCAAAATTTTCAATAACCCGGCGCAACGCAAAGGTACACACGGCTACACGTCTGGCTACTACAATATCTCAAATTTCCGCAATGAGTTTTGATCTCTACTCTCCATGTGTTATGGACCATATGAAACCAGCAACCTAGCCAGTTCAGTATTTCAGTCCACTAAAATTAGAAACCATTATATTTCATTGGGTATTATCTCCATTTACACGAAACCAATACCGGACTTGACTAACTCGTGAAAATTGACGTTAAAGTTGAAAATGGGGGGTTGTGTTAGCTGTGTAAATGCTATTTGTAAACACTAATGCTATATAATATGTCATGTCAGTAAATTATGTGATCGAAGAGAAGCAACAAAAATGGTGACATAAAAGGAATCTTCTAACAAAGCCGCCGTAACTTGAATCTTTGAGTAAAATTGATTTCTACATAAATAGAGGAAACATGCTTAGTTGATTTTTTAAGTTAATCAAAAAGCCAGTAATTATCAAAGGCGAACTTATTATTATAAAAGTAGACAAGAAATGGAAGAGACTTCGCTTCCTGTCTACTTACTTTTATTTGAGTGAAAATTGCTGTAATTAAATAATATTTAAGAACGTTCAAATACGCACATAATTATTAATGAGCAGAGTTTTAGTAAGAAACAAAAGATAAGAAATTATTATTTACCTTTTTCTTTATCCTTCAATGCTATAAACGAGTGAAACCATAAGTCCAAATACATATACGTTTATGTAAAAAAAAACTAAAGAAACAAATTCGAACAAGAATATTGCTCTGTTTTGTTCGTATTAGTTTCAAAATCATTTAAAAACTATTAAGTTTATGTGATTTATTTATTTATCTACCGAGCCAATTATTGAAATTCAAGTTTCTGTTTTCCTTATTTACATATTTTGAAATTTGGGCAAATAAATTATCGATATTCCTATGAGGTATTTTTTACTTAAAAAAGCAGAATGTAACTTATTTCAATATGCCATGATGAATATTTTGGAAGATAATAAGGTTTTTAAGTAGCTAACACCAGAACTTTTGCTCGCCAGTTAAAAAGGACATCGCTGTAATGAAACCTGACCTTAAATTTAATAAGGCCACATTTTAAAGCCAAATAAAATTGTATCAAAATTTATCTCAAGGAATACCTATTTACAAATGGCGACTCCACAATAGCACTTTTACGGGACTCTATTTAGGTACGGGGGTGAGACGCAAAGCACTATACCGGCGACTGGAAATTGCCTTTTTATATTCATCATCAACATCATAACAGGCGTTTGACGCCCACTGCTGAGCATAAAGCACCCCCTTGGATCTCCACGACGATCAGTCCTGCGCTGCCCGCATCCAGCGGCTTCCCGCTACCTTTATTTGATCGTCGGTCCACCTGGTTGGGGGCCTACCCACATTACGTCGTCCGGTACGTGGTCGTCGTTCGAGAACTTTTCCGCCATCAGTTCTTTTCACTACGTGTTCCTCGCACTGCCACTTCAGCTGAGCAGCTTTTTGGATTAAGCTACTTTTTTATCATTAGGTCAGACGGACAACAACGTCTGTCCCATCGGGAATTACGAGAGCGGATAGAGCGGCAGCGGTCGGTGGCTACGCCCAAAATCACCAGATCAGACTCTTTGGAAGGCCTTAACCTGGAGATGCACAACACACGGTCTTCAGTCGAAAGACTCGACACCCAAGTTTCGAGCTTACATCATGACGTTGCAGCTCTTAGTATGGAGGTAAGTCTTTATACAACTTTATATTGAATAAAATTGGATAATAAGGCTAATAACTGGTTTCTTATATAATACTTAAACGTAAGCCGTATAACAGATACTACTTTTATTTTAGTTACTTTTGCATATTTTGCCTATTTTAAACTATGAAAACTTTTATGGGTTAGGTTTTATCTTTTTTTTATAATTACTAGTCGTAGAGTTTAATTCAACGACTTATATTTTGTCTATCTTGTATTCAATGTGGAAACGCATATCTGCCGAGGAACAGCAGATGTTATAATTTCGTTTCATATTGATAAGATAAGATAAGATCTTTATTTGCTAGAATACACTTAAAAGGTCACAAAAATAAATAATGAGATACAGTATTCTACCTGAGAACAGGCGTGCAACTATTCTAATCATGCAATTTTCTTAAAAGCCAAAAATTCCTTCACACTATAGAAGCTGTGTTCCATAAGCCACTTTGTCAATTTTGATTTAAATTCATTCATATTCAAAAATTTCATGTCATCTGGTAAATTATTGTATATAGTTATGCACGTGTTGTATACATTATTTTTATAAATGTCCTTATGACAAGGAGGGTGGTACAATAAATTTATATATTTTTGTCTAGTTTGCCGAGGCATAACTTCTACACGTTAAGTCCAATATTTGGAGTTGGAGTGAACAAATAAACATACATCTTTTATATACATACAGGGTAGAGGCAAAACATTAAGCTTCTTAAAAAGTTGCTACTTTGACATGACGTTTGGTGGAAAAATTTGGAATAAATTATACTGCTATCAAATCCATAATAATCATTCTTTATTCTAGCATTATTATTCTTCATTCTAGCGTGCTTCATCACTAAAGTACAAGTCAAAGTAGTAAAATGAAACGAAATATTAGAATTATGGATATAGAGTTAAGCGGTCGCACCACAAGTAGTTTTGAGTCATCATAATACGCCTATAAATTTTCACTGTTATGACTTAGGAACAAACATATGTAATATTCACATATCAATTTCTCTGTAAAAAAATATAATTACGAGATGAAATAAAAAATGACTATTTTAGGGGTAATCACAAAGTTATTGTAAAAAGTTTACATAACCTTATGCTCCAATTTACTTTAACGAGCTCCTCGTTGCATATTGAATTCATATCATTAAAAAATTCTTTTGAATTATTTTCATTCCTTTTTCATGTTTACTTTCTTTTTTGCAAAAGCATTTATTGTAACTTCAGGTTATATGTATTTTTTCTTCTTCTGAAGTCTGTTAAAACGGTATATAACATATTAAATCTATAGTTAATTTGGAAAATAAATATTACAATACACATCTGCTTTCAGATAATATTCATGTTGTGTGTCTGGATGTTATTTTGAATTATATAAGTCAAGAACATAAAAATATCAAATACAAAACAAACTGGAACTATTTTTTCGCTACCCGCGCAATTTTACTTGGACACCTGTATATTTGATCAAAATTTATGGCGTAACCAACACGTGAAAATTCCCGGCAAAGAAAAGGATAGTGAAATATGTTCTACGAATATTTCATTATGACTTTTATTGTAACACAAATCAGAGATCGTACCTATATTTTTCTCTGGTACTATAAAACTAGTTAATAACAGAATTTTCACTATTAATTCAGTTCTATAAACGGGTACTTGTAGCAGACTAAATTAATTTGACCTAAAACTGTGATTTGTAAAATGGCGAATAATCTATATAAATGTCACCTATTTCCTCATAAACATATTATTTATGTTTGATATTGTAATACCGATCCGGTTATAGTAATAATACCAAAAATATCTCGAGCTTATTAATTTTCTCCAAAAATAGTATAATTGCCAGACGAAATAGAAAAACTGTGAATAACTTGGAAATTTGTTTTTTACGTTTTGTTTGTAATCACCATCAGTCCCTACCTAGTAGTGTAGTGTCCCTCGTTCTGAGGTACAGGGTCCATATGGGACGGAATTGAATAGGGAGAATGAGCTATAGATAGCCCATGGACTAGTCTTACTATTATCATCCAATTTAAAAAACCAAAACACTATCCTAGATATTTTACTCGTACTAGGTGCGACCTCTATCTCACCATACTAACATCGCCACAAAAATCGAATGACGGCAAAACTGAAGCTTCTACTGACATCGCAAGACTTGACATCCAGATGAGTGACGCCGCGAAACCTGGACCGCGCTGCTATGCGCTGCAACTAAAGATTATACAACTTCCAACCTACATTGGTTGGACTGGGGTGCCCGTGCTATAAACACGCAGCTCAGAAGAAAGCAATTTCCCTTATTCTCCCTACAGTTACTTCTACCAAGTGGGACTATATTTCATTAAGAATATTTTTCAGTATAACATTGTGAATGCAAAATGGAGCAAATATAATAACAAATTACCTTTTATATACTAAAATAAACTTATTACTATAGACTACAAATCTATATACAAAATATATATATCAGAAATATTTATATTATCATAAAATCCCGTACATTACTAATCGAAAATTATAGCACGCCATTAGTGATACAAGACTTCTAAAGTAAATAATCTAATAATAGTGTACACTAACGGATTTGTGAAGTCACCCCCTATGCCATTGTAACGGAACACACCGCAATATACACGTATATAATAAATATGTCACCATTAATTTAAATAAATAAAAAGAAAACAAATTTGAAAAGACAAGGTTTAATTTAGTTTTGGATCGACTGAACATTCAGTAATAAAGTTACACTCCATCTATCGACAATGCTATACTATTCGCACAAATTAAGACTGATAGATTCTAAAGGATAATCTCTAAGTAGTTCCAATAATTGATACTAGATGGCGCCACGTCTGGCAAGGAAATGTTGGGGAGTCCTTAGAAAATAAATTTCAGTTCTTAAAAAGAAAAACATGCAAAACTAATAACTACCTTAATAAATAAATAATATACTTAGCTATGGGAAACTAAATATTTTGACATCAACATCAGAATAGCAACGAAAGTGCCTAAATCGAAACTGTGCTTCACTTTAAGTAATGGAAATCCCATAATTCTTCTCATGGATCTGCCAAACATCAGGGTACAATTATATCATTTATCGAGTAAATTTGGTGATCGTTTATACCAATCCTACTATTGTTCAACTTAATAAACACTGTAATAAAACAGATTAGACTAAATTATAATTGTCTGTATAGAATCTAACAATAAGTTAATTTGTTTATAACAGGGTCTAAATTTAGATTTTTGCTCTTGAACAATATCATAATGAAAACTTAAATAACATAAAATGTCCATTGCATAAAAGATCTCTCTGGACAAATCTAGGAATTTTGAAACAAATTGTAACTATATAAAATACTTATTAAATAATAAGATATCGTCATATACTTATTTCTGGGGCCATCTATATTACTTGTATGTATTATCAAAGACTTAATATGTTAATAAAATGAACAACAAACTTTACTTAGTATTAAATAGTATACCAAGATTCCTGTTGCCAGGTCGTGATTACGGGCTTTAAAATGTTGATTCAAATATCAAGTTTTGTTACATAGATTAATTGATGAAAATGCTATCATAAAGGAATGTTAAATATATTGAAATACTTAATATGTATATTCTAGTAGCGGTTGATTATTTCATTAAAATAATTTATTAGAATATCAGAATATTTCGTAGCGGAATTCACTACAGTTTCGGGGTTTGGCGCCTAAACGAAATCTAATGAACTCGTTTGTGATTGGTGGAGACTTGTAATCGGTAATTAAAGTCAGCGGGGAGGGATTCAGGGACCGAGAGGTATAAAAGGGAAGGTGGGATCGGATTCGAGACTTTTTGGGAGAGGCACATCAACGGAGACGGAACTCGGGACGTCGTGGGCTACAGAAGGCTGAGGATAGGCTGAGGATCTTTGGCAAGTTTTGGGTCCAGGGCTTCCGCCTTGGACCACAAGTAAGTGCCATTAGGGAACGTAGGCTTATTAAAAGTGGAGAGGCAGGATTAGGCTAATGTTTCTTTGTGCAATTTGTGTGTTTTATCATTGATTACCAACACTATCATTATGTATTTTGAAGTCTTTTATATTATCCTGGCTTTCCGCAGACGGATTCAACCGTGTGGTCCTTGGGGAATTGTATGGAAGGATAACAAGTAGCCAATGTTCTTTCGCAGGATCAGCTCTATCTCTGCGTAACAGACAGACAGACAGACACTTTCGTATTTACATATATTAGTAGGGATTATCTATTTATAGACACAAAAACTTTATACACTGTTCAAATAACACATTCCTAACCCGACACCAACGAAATTGCTGACTGTGAATTAATATACGCAAAGTAATGGGCATTGTGTATGTTATACCGTAGATAAGGAGAATAAGAACTCTATTATAATCTTTATTATAATATTTATTAATTATACGTAGGAAACAAGACATCGGGTGATCTAGTCATTTTCATAATAATTATTAAAATTTTATCTCCTGTTTCGATCGGTCCAGATTGGAATGAAAATATTTATATTTGATTTGTTTTCTTATTTGGACTCTTTAGAGTCTGTTCATACTACTTTTATTCCTAGGTTCTCATAGTTTATAGGATGTCGCAGTATTGGATTGTTCCATTTATTTGTTAATATCGTGGGTGTTGTCCGCCTTTTGAATGTATGGTTCGGTGAAATATCAGTATTAATGATCCCTATCCCGTGCTGGGTCAGGATGGTGATCACCGCCAGTATCGGAAGCGTGTGAGATAGCTCGGTTGATTACCTGTGCCGTCAGCTCAGTGGACGGCAAATAAGCCTGTTATATTGACAAATAATTGTGGGACTTCGCTTTATTGTCCTTCTGATGTGGTAGCTAATATTCCTGGACGTGTGTTCCATTTTGGTGAGGTCCTGTTCGATATGGTGTTAGTTCTCGCCTTATCCCGTACTGGAGTGGTCCAAAGGGCGCATTCCCCTTGGTACCGATGGACGATAATTAATGCTATGTCGAACTATGTTCCATTGTCTTTGTGGAGGACATCAGTCTTGGGTATATTATCCAATCACATAGGATTTTCTTTGCTTTTTTGCAGAGCGTTCTTTTCTTAGTGGTGGTGTAGTTTTATTTTCTGGTTAGGAAAGTATTCCTCGCTGGACCGGTTAGAGTCAATAATGGTTAAGGGGCCGTGTGGTGGGCCCCAGGCTTTGAGCGTGGTTGGGGCTCGAAAGCACTTTAAACATTAGCAATGCTGTATATATTTTCTCATTTTTTTTATATACATATTCCCTGGCATTGCTGGTGTTTACTTACCTTATTTCCTTTCCTACCCAATATACTGATTTTATAATTTTCTTTTAATATTTTAAGCCTCATTTAGTAAACAGTTTCTTATATTTTATTTACTTACCAAAGAAAAAAAAAAAATTACTTTTATTATTTTATGCATGACCATGTTTTATCATCTTTTATGTTTGTTTCATTTATTAGTTTAAAATCTAGTCTTTTCATGCCCTCAATAACATATACTCTTACCACTCATAATCACCTTCATACAAAGAATCTAAGGTTGCTACAAATACAATACACAACGAGGAGTCCTACCACTAGATGATCAAAACCTTACAATTATGGCCAATATTAAGTTAATATTTATTCTATTAAAGTTATTTTATTTAATTCTTATTAATTATTTAATTAATTATATTTATATAGGTGTGTAAGGGGGGGAAACGTTACACCATTAACGCTTATTGACTTACAAGTGACAAGCCATTTTATTACGGCTACAAAACTGATATCAATTCGATAAGGGAAAAAAATATTTTGAAATTATTCAACGAGTGTTTGTTATAATAAACGTAATAAGTATAAAAAAAATCGTAATGATAAAAGTCTGTCTATATAAGTTAGTTTATATGTTATGTTACTGAATTTTTCTGGCGAATTTTAAATCATATTGTAAATTATGAATAGTACCTAAATCGTTACCAACAGACGGTTTTGAAAAATTTCAAACTTTTTTAAATATTCCATCAATATTTAATCTATCGTTCAAGTAAATATTGACAAATGATTTAAATAAGATCTAAATATGCTAACGATATTCTCCTGTTAACTGATCTTGTTGAAATCTTGTCCACTGTGTACAACATTTCAACAAGATATTTTGTACAAATTTTTCTTCTAAGTTTAAATATATAATTCATTTATCTTAAAGCAGTATGTAATCCTCCGGGTCAATTAGTTTTTTTAGACTTTAGTGGTGAAACTGTTTTTCATTATTGTTTTACTTTATAGAGGTATAGATGGAGCTGTATTATCTTGATGATTTTTTCACAATTAAAGAATCCATATGCATATATATATAATACCTAATGATATTTATTGCATTTATAAAATGAGGTTACTCTATGGATTTGGTGTATTTTCAAAAAACCTTTGTTTATCTTAATTAAAAAGTTTTCCAGCTTTTTCGAAACTATTTTTTGTTACTTAATTTGTCATCGATAAAATCCAGGTCCGCAGCGCTATTCAAGCCTTACAAGAAATGGCAGGTCCATCGGGATGGCATTCTGCACATTCTAACCCTAACCTACAGTGGCATGCACCGCTGAACCAACTAGCCCGAAGCTGCAGTCACCCTCCTGATGTCTTCTGTTGGGATCAGGTCGGCTATAAGAAACTCAAATTACAAAGAAATTAAAGCTGTCGAGTACAAGTACAACTACCGACGTTTAATTGGATTAACGATTCAATTAATTTCATGTTAAAATGTGAACTTTGTTGAAAAGTCAAATAATAATTAAATTTAACACCTCGATAATAATAATTCTATAATTTGATGATATTATTAGTTTAATACTTGTCCAACAAATTTAAGTGATTTGCTGTTTAAGATTAGTTCTTAAGTGGATGCCAAGACCCTTCCTAGAAGAAACGTATACATTTCTTAAAACTTTAAAATTACTAACATTTGATATCTAGGTTCAAATATGATAATTAATAATATTCTCTCGACTAACCGCCGCTAAACCGCCGATTGTTCTAACCGCTCCAATATGTAAGCTAATGCTGTTATTACATTATTTAAAACTATGTCTAGGGGAGACCGAGGAGAGTTGAAACAATTTTGACATTTTATTTCATAAATCAAATACTATTCACAGAAATCGTATGATATTAGTACCAATCGAAAGGTAATTATTTACACCTGCGAATGACTAACGTATAGTAGTTGTAAACGTTAAATATTGTGGTAGACATCGACTTAACCGTAACACGACAATTTGTTTCAACTCTCCTCATACCGAGGTAAGATGAAACAGGGGACGAGGAGAGTTGAAACATATGATTGTTGAGAAGCATTAAGGGATGTAAAATAAAAACGATTATATAATTTCAAGGTATTTATTCAAATAAAACTTTTTAGTATGTAACAACTTTTTATATAAGGATTTTGTAATGATATATCAGTCAAGTATGTAACTACACGTCTCATAAATGTATTTAACTCTTAAATGAGTTAATTACACCTTTAACTTAAATAAAAAGGATCTTCCTCAATCTTTAACATACAATAGTTATTAATTTTCAGTAATTTCTTAAGTATTACAATGATGCGGTCTGGTTTCAGAACTGTTGTGATACCTGATTCATCAACTTTCCATATATCCTTCCCTTGTAACCCTGTAGTATAATTTTGGAAAAAAAGTTGTTCATTTGATCTGCTAAACTTGTAACTCGAGCGATAGTTGTAGGTTGAGGTAGACTAGGTGAAAGAACAGGATGCCGTTTCATAAATGATCGAAGCCAAACCTTTCCAGCCATTTCATGAGCAGTCCAAGCAGAAGGGATTTTTTTATTATATTTTTTATAATTATATTTACAGCCAATTTACAGGCAAAAGTTCTGGCTTCTTTAGTTCTTAGGCGAAAGTTAACAGCAGCGCAGTTTAAAATATTGCCTCCTCCTCTGAAGCTGTAAAAACAGTCTTTTCAGGATATCCAACTCTAGGAGCAGTTGCCGTTTCGTTGCCTTCATAAGCATTTTTTTTAATGTACCTGCAGAGAGATGTATGGTTCAGATTATAACTCGAAACCGCGTCACGGAGACTTTTCTGGCGCAAAATTACTTCTTCTGCTACGAGATCATATATTTCGCGACTTGCCATACCCCTGTCAGTCTTTCTTTTATAATAAGTTGGCATTCTAAAACAAAATAAATAAATTAAGTTATCATAGACATTAATTAGGAGCGTTACTACCCGTCACGCTGTGTGCAACATTCGTGAAGTGTATGCTGTGGCATTTGTCTGCTTTGCAGCCATTTTCCAATATCTCATGTTATCTATGTAGAGGAGACCGAGGAGAGTTGAAACAGTCTGTTTCAAATCTCCTCAGTAGAAATAAAACCTCTCATTTTTATTTAATCTACAATGAAGAAGCAAATACATAGAAATCAACTGTACCAAACATATACAATGAATCTTTAGTTAAAGAGCTTTCGAAACACATAAAACTTAAACCAAAATACAAAACCTATATAAAAATATAAACATCATAACAAAGCCTAAAAAACTTACTTTTCACGATTTTTAACATACGGCTGACAGAACTCCACAACCGCGCGAGGCACACCTCCGACGTGAACTCCCACCACGACGGGCGGAGAAAAATAGTTATAAGGCGAAGTTGCTAACCCGCTAACGGTTTTAAGTTCCGAGAAATTGGTACTGTTTCAACTCACCTTTGTTTCAAATCTCCTCGGTCTCCCTACTACTTCAAAAATATATGGAACTACTATATCGAAGTATTGATCAAATAATGCATAATTTTCATATATTCAATAAGTACTTTGTCTTTAAGACATCTAAGTATATAATATAACAAACTGAATTAACTACGGTGTCAATAATTTATAAACTCATAATTTCGGTTTAGAAATCGTTGTACATACATACACTCTGAGAAACTTGGCACATTCCAAGAGTTATATCTGTTTAACATCTAAATATCTCTTAAATTTTCATTTGCTCTTGAAGTTTGTTCCAAATAAAATTACTTTCGTTTTATCCGCATTGATTTCCAGATTATTCGTATTGAACCTGTCCTTAAAGAGCTTCTGAACGTGGCTTATTTTATTTTCTCATTCAGATTTTCGGATGCTACCGTTCCTATTGGTATTAACTGCAACCAAGGGATCTATAGTAACTGCTTTTGTTTATTTTGGATTAATCTTAACGGATCAGTAACAAATCACACAAGTCATTAACGAATAAAATCAAGAATCGAGGACACTATGTTGTGTAGCTTAAAGTTGCCGATTTTTCAGTAGCTCGATATTTTTAAAATGTTTCAATTTTGCAAATAACATACGGGTATAAATAACGGCAGGCTTATTTGCTAACTAAACCGACAGCTTAAAGTTGTAGTCACCTAAAAAATAGAACAATTCCAATATGTCAAAATCCCATCATTGTATGAACGCTTGTCCACAGTGCTCTGTGAACAATTCATTTCGAGTGTCCTCAGAGTTACAGAATAAGGGCGCTGGGCCTTTCTCCTCACTCCGCATTAATAGCATTTAAATACCTTTTATTTTCCCGAATTTTCAATTTCCATTCTGACCTTATTTAATTTTTGTTTAGGTAAGAACTTTTAATTATAACCAGTTTTTTTTTCATATATCTATTTTATTATTCACAGCAAGAACGTCCAGTAACTCCAGAAAGGCCAAAAGCTCACCGTGGCACACAAACTGAACCATTCCTGCATTGCGTGACACAGTATATTATGGAGCATCCGGCCACTGTAATGCTTCTTTTAGGATTAGATCCAATGGCCAATCTTGCACCTGTCATGCAACCGACTGTCGATTACTATGACCATCGGAGTCGAAGACCTAGTGTGCTCGAACAAATCGTGGAATCGGAGAACGGAAGCCAGACTCCGTCGAGTACAAGCAGTGACAAATTTGAGACTGTAAGGAGCCTCAGTGGAAGCGCTAAAGAACTAAATATCCCACTTGAGGCGAAGAGGCTGCTGGAAAAAGAATACAAGCCTAATTTAAAGAGGAATAGGTATTCTGCAAGTGATATCTGTGAAGCCAGCGAGCCCCTTCTCAAATCGTCACACCCTAGTACGCGTAGCCTCAAGTTTAACATCAACAGCTAAGTGATAATTCCATTTTTCTTGTTAAAACATTCTGCTCATTAGTCATTAGATACTATAAGTTATTTTCTAGTGTTAAGAGAAACAGATTCTATTTATAAGATTTTTCAGTATGACTGTCTAGTTAAATTCTTTTTGTATATTTATGATAGTTGATACTTGTTATTCTTGTAAACAATAAAGGGTTTAGCCGGATACGTATGACGAGTCGGCCCCCAAATGGGAATCGATATTGAAACTTATGTTTTAATATCGACTTGATGTTCAAACACGATTTATGTACTTTTCGCGACCGACTTCCGCTTTGACCTTGAGATAGAGAGCAAAATGTCCGTATGCTTGACTATTACTGAATGTGATATATCTCTAAAGCTAATTAAGATAAAGAAGTGAAACTAACGCGAGGTGTTAGGTTACATTACAGAGTATATCACATATATTTTTTTATAATTTTTAGAATAAAAAATTACATTAAAAAAATAAAAAATAAAAAAATCATGTATTTTTTTCTGAGTTCTCTGTGACTTACAATCACGAAATTAATATATGTTATGCTCCTTTGTGTGCCCTATTACCCATAAAAATTGCGTGAAAAAAAAGTTGGTGCAACACAACGAAAAAAAATTATAAGTGATTTTTGTCTTATGGTATACCCCTGTATTATAAGGTTTTCACATTACATCATTGTTTTTTTTTCGAAATTTCACATCAGCTTGTTTTAAAACATAAGTAACTAGTCTTAAGAGATGGGATAATAGTTAAAAAAGAAATGAAAAAAAAAACAGCCAGTGTTCAATACTTATTATTATTACTTTTTCGTGTCTATCAAAATACAAGAAACAAAATATTAATCATCGTCACTGTTGTAATTAATTACAATCGGAACACTTTGAGTCGCAAATAACTTAGTTAGGACCTCAGCAGGACGTACGATTTTGGACAAATATCATCCATATGATAGATAATAAATAACAGCTGCTACATGAGAACAGCATCCCACTGTACGTTTGCCATTGGGGCAAGCACAGCAATAACGAAGAATACTATTGTAGTCATTACTTTCGGAAATATAGTGATTGTAAATTCGATAGACTTTTCTATTTATATGTCTTGATTTCACTTCTGCTTTGATGATATTAGGTGCTGATTTCACATATTGTACTGAGAGATTATTTTGATCGTCCATTATTTCGGCCAAGTTAAATGCTGCACATCTAGAAGTAGAAGCTTTTTTGTTAATAAATGGGATAAGTCGACACTTCTCACAAAAAATATCATTAACTATTACGATTTTATTCAAACAGTCACTAAACACTTTAGCTTCTTCTTCATTCTTTATAATTTTTTTATAACCAGGAATCTTACACAGGTACTTGTTACAATTTTTACACTTTTTCGACATTATTACTTAATAATGATTTGGTTCGATAGTTAATTATTTCAAAATGCTGATACAAAATACCTATGACAGAATTTGAGTCCCAAACTACCTTCTTGTGTAATACAAATGACTGCTACTTTAGCAAAACAAACGATGCAGTAAACAGCTCGATAACAAGTTCGAACTTGTTTGTTTATACACTCACACTACAAGGCGCGAATCACATATAATTTTTTTTCGTTGTGTTGCACCAACTTTTTTTTCACGCAATTTTTATGGGTGATAGAGCACACAAAGGAGCATAACATATATTAATTTCGTGATTGTAAGTCACAGAGAACTCAGAAAAAAAAAACATGTTTTTTTTTATTTTTATTTTTTTAATGTAATTTTTTATTCTAAAAATTATAAAAAAATATATGTGATATACTCTGTAATGTAACCTAACACCTCGCGTTAGTTTCACTTCTTTATCTTAATTAGCTTCAGAGATATATCACATTCAGTAATAGTCAAGCATACGGATATTTTGCTCTCTATCTCAAGGTCAAAGCGGAAGTCGGTCGCGAAAAGTACATAAATCGTGTTTGAACATCAAGTCTATATTAAAACATAAGTTTCAATATCGATTCCCATTTGGGGGCCGACTCGTCATACGTATCCGGCTAAACCCTTTTAGTATGTATCTTTAACAAAATCATGCATATTAATAACAACATGTACATATCATGTTATGTAGCATATCGGGTATCGATACTAGCTAGTCACTGTTTCGAAACGTAACAACTTTATAGACGTTTGATTGACACGTTTCCAACAACTCATGTAAATAAGGAAAGTAAAAATGCGTATGTACTTTAAGTAATTCAAAGAACACAGACGCTTATCTTGGTGTTAATGTTACTGTAACTGTGGTATTCTTAATTTTATTTGTAAATAAAAGTAGAAATTCGGTGGTACCTGTAAGATAATCAATGAAATGTTACATTGAGAAAATATTATGGATAATTGCAAGCAAATAATTATTATAATAAAATAACTAGTAATATCTTCTACTTTCAAGTCTCATCTTAACTAATAAATTTATTGAACATTTAATTGTATGAGTTTACAAAATTGACTCATTATATTGTTTCCATTTAATATATTTATACTGATATCCATTTCAATTCAATATGTTTTTAAATACTTATATTGGATAATAGAATGCCTGCGGAATACTTTTCAATTGAATCTGTAACTTATTCGCATAATCACGAATACAAATATTTAAATTTATCAATCAATGACTTTTAGAAACCAATTTAATCTATTGGTATTGGTCTTCTTCTCAAAAAAGGTATTAAAGTCATGTATGTGCCAAATTTTAAACTTTTGAGGAATCAATTTATTAGAAGATATTAACAATAAAATATAAAAATGGAATAACTACATTCTGAAATGAGCTCGCATAAGATAACGGAGTAATTAGTAGATCATGGCGCTTGCAACGGCGCCAAAATATCGGGAAGTCAATAATACCAAAGTACATGGTAGCAATCCTGTAAAAAAAAACTATAATTCTAGTTTAAATACGAAAATTTCATTGCATAAATATTATATTTTACTTGCTCTATCTTGATTATGCTAAGCACATGTAGTTGTAGTTACTTCAAGTACGAATTAACATGAATCCGGAAGTTTTATTCTGCGAAAACAAAATCTCGTGTATTTTGTAAATGTTAATCGACTCGAAAGACACTTTATGACACAATTGAGGAAGGACCTAACACTGTCACAGATACAAAAATAATTTTAACAGATGTTATTTCAATAAAATTATAAGAACGATTCGTAATTTTCCGAATTTCGCCCATCTGTTACGTTAATTTGTACGAGTTATATGTAATACTTTTCCGATCCAAGCAGAACATAAATTCAAAATCCAAACAAAGTAAATTTCAATCACTTACAAAGTAAATTTCAATACCCCTATTATGTCTTAACATTTTCTTAGTTTTTATTATTTTTACAGCTTCCCCAGATAATATAAAATATGCTATTCTGTTAAAAACCACAGTCTCCAACTCGACTTCGAGCGCAACGCTGTAATAGGAAGCTTCAATGAAATAAAACCTTTATTTCCTTTTTGGTTAGGTTTTATTTGATTGAATCTCAATGCGATACTCCAGTTCGAAGCTATTTATGTCACAAAATAAAAAAGATAAATTAAAAGTTTTTTTGTGGATGAAATAATTTTGATATTTTTCACGATATGCGTCTATAGAGATTAAAACAATAAAACATTGTTGTAGACTAAAATTAAACAATAAAGATCTAATAATAGCTCGTATAAATTTTTTTGTTGTATTATTTTTGAATAGAACTAGTCTATAGGTAACTATTATAAGCTAAAAACTATAATTTCAGGCTCTGTGCCATTTGAAATGGTATATAATATCAGAATTAGAAGTTCTACAGTTTTCTACATTAAAATACGAACTCATAAATGAATGTTGAATTTGTTGATTTCATTTGTACCCATAGAAGGTATATATATTCCTGTGAGAATGTCATCATCAAATATTTACATTCCATTAGAAGATTTTACAATTCAAAAGTTTCTATATGAAAGCATTTTCCTATGGAAGAACGAATCAACATTTATTTATTAAATTTTATCATTTCTTTTATCAATGGGATCTAAATGAAATTTGCATTATGAAATTAATGTCATCACAACGAAACAAGTTTCATGTAACTTCAGCACATAACACATAATTTCAGCACATGTGAAATTAATATAGTGTTATGCGCATATTTTGATGAAACTAGTGTCATGCAACTAATTTCACCACGAATTACATGGCGAAGCTAGTGTCAAGACGACATTTGAGCTTACTACATCGTCGATGTTGGCAGAACTAGCGTTTCTGAGATACTACGAGTATTTTAAATCGATATTTACAAGTGACATTGCTGGTGAATTTAATGCACTGAAACTAATTTTGTAATGTAATTGGGCTTTAATGATATATTATACATTTTGTTACATGGCTCAATTCAAGTGAACTCATGCAATCGGTTCCAGTTAGGAAGAACATATTTAGAAAATTATTAAATGTTTCATGATAAAAGTCGTTCGTTTTGTATGATTCTAATTTTGAGAGAAATGAAAATCAGAATTATCTTTGATAATAAATTGTTATAAGAACGGAAACGCTTATTAGAATAATATCGTGGTGTTGTTTGTATAAAGAGCCAATGAATGTGATATGATGTTGAAAAACGTGCAGTGCCTAAATTCTCATTATTGTTTGTTCGTTCGATTCTGACATTTAATGAAATACTTAACTATTTACTATATGCATTTTTAATGCGTACTAAACATATTTTGTACATAATTATTATGAATCTTTATCGTGTAGTACAAAGAATTTAGTTACAGTAAAGTTAATAAAGACAGATTGATGTTGAATGTTAGTTTTATTAATAAAACCTGCACAATAATCTTTATTCATACACTTTATAATTAACAAAATTCGCTACATCGAAAAGAAACTTCAAGTTTGCTAAATATCAAATCAGTATGCCTACTATGGTGTGCGCGGAAGTGCTAGTCACCGCCTGAGGTATGTGAGCGTGAGGTACTTCCGCGCACACTATACCTACTTACTTGTCACTTTTTAATGAGTTTAATGAAACTTGTCTCCAATTGATCTAATGTGATATTATCAACAAAAAGGACTATTTTTTTACCTTGTTTTACGCTGTTCCGTAATTACACGTCATATACAAAATATACTCGTCAAGACCATAATTACCTACTTTATGATGAAATTACCTTGTGATATTTTTTTATGTTATTTACAGAAATCAAAACTATTTTTGACAGGATTAAAACAAAATTAGCTAAAGGCCTCAGACAAAGTATGTCTAGTGCTCTCTACAACTTAAGCTTTTACTGAACAATACCTGATAGTCTGAAATAAAATAATGGCTGCGTATGAATCAATAGGTATTTATTGAGTTTATTAATAACTCAGAAAAAAAATATAAATGAAGGAATGAAACATTACACTTTATTACTCTAAAAAAAGTACAAAAAAATA